TTTAATTCTTAAGTACTTTTATTAGTAGTATAGATAGAAAAAAAATATATATATAGACATAATTTTATTTTTTTTATTTGAAAAATTAATGATCTATTGATAGACTTTTTGAACAAATTATTAAAAATATAATGATGCATATATTTTTTTAAGGGTTGCGCAGTGAATTAAAATTTTTCATAGATATTGATATTTATATAAAGATAATAGAAAATTAAAAGAGATGTTAGAGGGTAATTTAAAGATTTAAATACATAAAGTTGTGATTGTAATTTATATATTTAAGTATGAAAAGATAATGTGGTATCTAAAATTCTTTATAAGGATAAAATACTGAATCAAAAATTTTTCATTTATGGTACTTTTATTAGGAGTATAGATACTTTGACTGTAGAGTTTATCCTATTATTAGAATAGAGAGTAGTTGCCAAAAAAGAAAATACTCTCTATTTAAACTTTTTTGTCAAAATGCTTTATATTTTAAAAATATTAGAGGTAACTCGTGTCTGAAGATACGGTGCAATGTGAATTGTTTTAAAAGAGATGATAGTAGTCATTGGATAAATCAATTTGAGACCATAAGATGAGTTTATTAAAACTTTAATTGTAGAGGTTATCATTAGAGTAGAGAGTAGTTGCCAAAAAAGGAAATATTATTTATTTAAATTTTTTTGTCAAAATGTTTTATATTTTAAAAATATTAGGGGTAACTCGTGTCTGAAGATACGGTGTAATGTGAATAATTTTAAAAGAGATGTTAGTGGTCATTAGATAAATCTATTTAAGACCAGAAGATAAGTTTATTGAAACTTATCATGTTTTATATTATAGATTCTTTCTAAAATAAAAAGTATTGTTAGAGATGTTGGAAGATAGTTTGTACAGCCGGGCTTGAATTCTCATTGTTGTCAACGATCCAACACACAAAAGTAGCTACTGGGCTTTAAGGCCCATTGTTGATATCGATCCAACAGACATAATGGCCTAAAGCCCAGTTATAGATCCAAAATCGTGCTTCTTCGGCCTTCCTCTATTTTCCCGCCAAAAGTCCCAACTTCACCAGCACCGTTTTCGCTCCTTCCCGTCATTTCCGAACTTGTCCGATATCGATCGAGACCTCGAGCAACGCCTGTGTTTTTGAGTTCAAGCAATTTGTAAGGATCATTCATCACTTCTGTTATATATTTTTGACATATTTACATTTCATGTTCATCATTTGATTCATTTGAAAATTTTAAATTCTTCCGTCTTTATTCGTATATGCGTATTTAGCTGTTATGTTTACTGTTCTGTTTCTTTACGGACAATGTAATTTTTGATTCATAGATCGTTTCCTTGTTGATTTGGGGAAAACGTGTAGTATATAATGATGACCACAGAAGAAGCTGAGAGTGGAGGAGATGACATGCTAATCGTATGCTGTTATATAAAGTTTCCAGCACCTGTATCTGTGGCACCACAATGTATAGCACGAAATCAACAACATCCGTGACTGCAATTTAAAACCTTGTGTTCTTCTGTTATCTTAGGAAGCTTATTTGGATAAATTCCTTAAAGTTTCTTGATGCAGCTTATTCAGAATCATTTTGGCTATAAATTTGCTTTGCATTTTGTTTTCTTCTCAGAAGTTTCATAGTAAAAGAGACTTAGATGATCCACTTTTTTTTGTTTTTTTTCTCATTCTCATAATTAATCCATTATTGGATGAATTTATGTCTAGCTTCTCATTAAATAAATCACGTGGGATAACATGAAAATTATTTTAGTGTTGGACAAATGTTTTTATTTGATGCATTATGAATTACGAGATCTTGCTTCTGCTGTTCTATTCTGTTGCTTGTGAGTTCATTTGCCAAATCTGCAGCTTTTGGGAGAGCTCAACATGGAAGTTTTTAGGGCAGAAGGGGATAATGGTATGTCAACTGTACTGGAAATTGGAATATTTCCTATTTTTCTGTTTCCGATAGTCCATGGTTGTAGTGATCAAATCTTTGATGGGTCCAAAAAATCCTTGATAGTTCTTTAATGACAATTTATTGACAAAAATTACACGGGATGATGCAAAAGCAGGACTTATCGTTCATATTGTAACACAGTTAGTTTGTCATCCCTTGCCCCCTTTATATTTTGGTGGGGTGGATCTCCTAATCCAGTATGTAATAATATTTGAAAAAGTTAAGCATGGTCAATGGTTGCATCTTATAGGTGGTCGTTCATTTTACAAACATTGGAGATATTCTTGGAGCATGTGTGTTTGCCCTTGCATTCCATCTGGAGTTTTTTCTTTTAAGTATGACTTTTGATTTTCTTCTTCTTTCTCTTTTGTTTGTGGGCTCTTTTCATGGCAGAATAGGATAGACCCTCGCTTGGACAGTCAGTCAGATTTTCCGGATCATCTTTCTTGCAGCCTCTGTTGAAATCTTGCAACGGATATATCATTTTTTTTGTGAAATTTTTGGTCGTTATTGTTCCCTGCATCTTCAGTTATTTTAGAAAATAGTTTTTGATTTCCNGCAGCCTCTGTTGAAATCTTGCAACGGATATATCATTTTTTTTGTGAAATTTTTGGTGGTTATTGTTCCCTGCATCTTCAGTTATTTTAGAAAATAGTTTTTGATTTCCTTTTTTGGAGTTTTTTAATTGTTTTTCTCCTTCGGCCATCTTGTTATGCCAGAGCTTAAGACATTTAAATTTATTACAGGAATTCTAGAGCTGCTGGTGTGGTAGTTCACAGGACTGTTATTCTGTGATGTGAGATTGTGCTTTCCAGAAAGTGTATTTTACAATTGCCCAGTCAAGCCCATGCCCAGAGTCTATCCTTTCTACTTTGAGCAAAAGCAGGCCTTGCAAATTGTTCTAAATAAGTTCCGCTCTGTTGTCTTTGCAACTACGATGTTGATAGGGGAATACCAATTTTGTCATCCCCCACTAAATAAAAGAATTTATCTTATTTTTGTCGTCAATTACAGAAACTGCACTTTTTTTTTGTTCAAATACCAAAAAATTAATTTTTCATGCTGATGCGGCTATTTCCCTTTGGCATTTTCTAGATTAGAAAACAGTGGCATTGAACTGGAAAATTTATGAATGTTGCAGGATGAAATATAAAGGTCCTATGGCATCAAAATTCAGCAGTCAAAGAACTCACTGAGTTGGTAGTGCTTTTTATGATCTCATTACAGAGGGAGTATCGGGGTTCAAAGGACAATTTTTCATTTTCTTGGATTATCCCATACGATGTAAGTGAAATTATTTGATCTACTTGGTGGGATATGGGTAAATTATCATCATATGAATTCATGTAAAGCTAGAATGAAGATTCTTTCTGTAATTTTAGTAGATTTTTATACCTTCTANATTATCCCATACGATGTAAGTGAAATTATTTGATCTACTTGGTGGGATATGGGTAAAATATCATCATATGAATTCATGTAAAGCTAGAATGAAGATTCTTTCTGTAATTTTAGTAGATTTTTATACCTTCTATATTTTGATCTTGTTACTGATTTTATTGAATGGAAATCACGTGTTACCATAATTATCGAGGAATTTTGTTATATTTTATTGTTACACTTTTTGTGCAAATTGATGGAGTGGCTGAACGGTCCTTACTTTCTTGCCCTGCAATTGGAGTTCTCAATTTTTGGTCTTATTCAAGATGTACTTTTTGTAGGCGTGCGTGAAATGAGGGGGAAAGAAAAAGGACCATGTTCCAAATGTAGAGCAATTTTGTTATTCATGTCGTCCTTGCTGCACAGCAACCTTCAGCACAGATAAATGAAAGGGTTTCCTTTCTACTTTTCAGTGGGTTCATTGTCTCAGGTACGTCTTAATCACCGGATAATGTAGTTTATGTTAAATGCTGCATGCTGATCAGATATCCAGTCCAGTGCTTCAGATATGCCAATTAGATATATAATGGAGTGGTTCCAGATATGATTTAAATGTCTTGACACACGAAACTTGGCTGGAGTTACCGTTACGTAATTACATCAATTATATAGCATTTTAGGCCTCAATTTCCTGAATTTATTTGGAAAGTTTTTGGATTAGTTTCTATTTAACACGCAATAAGAAAGAGAATATCCAAGAAAAAACAGAGGAAAAAAGAAGAAAGAAAATTCAAATGAGGTTACTTTTTTCCTCTGAATATGCTAGTTCCACTATCTTTCACAAATTATGCCTGAATCACCATCAAAATCTGGTTCAAGGATGGTGGCAGACTGGCAGTGCATGGAAAGGAACCGCTTCCAATGTGTTGTCATTCACAGGGAGGCTAAACTAAAGAAGTATCAGTGATTTCTCAATAGGTATTGATACATTGACATCAGGAGTAAGGACCACAATCTATCCTTGAGGGAGAAGGATAAATTGGGAGATCTGGTTGGGTTCACTTGCACAATATTTTGAGCAGAATTAGTTCTTTTTGTGGCCGAGAAGTTACGATACATTAATCCTTGAAAGGAGAACCATAATCATCTTGATCCTTATGGCAAATCAATGCACATCTTTTCTGTCTTATTCCCCTGCTAACATACGAACAATATAGAACATTAATTAAAATTTGTGCCCAAAAAGGTTGACAAAAGACAATCGAGCCGTTTTGTGTCATGTTTTATCTTGTGTTACTTCGGGTTCCTATAATGACAATCTTCTGTTACTTTGGTTCCTGTCAACCAAATTCACCATTGGTCTCCATAATTTTTTTAAAAACTTGTTCCATATCTTAAAAAACAAACCAAAAATTATTTAATTGTGGGATGACTTATACATTACTTTATCATGAAATGCATACAAAATTAAAAAAACATATTTTCTTCAAACAATGTTGGTCATTTGTTTTTGTTTTTGTTTTTTGGTGATAAAATGGAGTCATTGGTGTTTAATATTAATCAGACCCGATTATTATGTGTTAGTGAATTGTTTTGTTTTTGGTTCATGTTGTGTAGAGTTTGAGTCATGGATGTGTCAAAAATTACAATGGAATTGAATCCCTTCATGAATCTTATTCTTCATAATAACAGTGACATTGATACATATAATTTCATTAAAAACTCAGTTACCCCCACACATATTTCATATAGTAATCATCTGTGAAGAACACAACCAACCACAAGAACATTCTTACTGCCTCCCAACAAAAAAAGGAGAAAAAGAAACAACCTAAAATCAAGCCTACTCATACTACACAAAACTCTGAATCTAAAACTGGTCACATGAAACAGGAATGAGAATACTTAAATAGCTCAACATCCAAACTACAATTTACTTTAACTACTACTTAACATGATGTAATTCCAAGACCTTCTAATTAGCTTGGGAAAAAAGGAAAAAAATGATCTTCTAGTTAGCAATAACATCCCATATCAACTCAGGATCAAAGGAAGGCATGTGTGCCAGTGAGCATCCTTCCAAGTCTGATTCCTCTGGCACCACCCTAAACTCGCTGGAGAAGGAGCATGGTGAATTCTCGCCCTTCCAGAGCCCGTCATCTGAATTGGTTGGTGAAACCATTTCATTTCTCCAACTACCATTACCAATTGCTGATGATGACAACAATGAGGACGACGGAGATGCATCGACCTGCACAACTTTGCCACACTCTTTATCATCAAGTCCATTACATTCCCCAACCGAACTCCCACGTTTCTTACCATTCTTGTTAGATCTCTCTCTTTTGACCTTTTGGTAAATAGCTTGAATCTTGGCATCCACAGCACTCTTCAAAGCAGTCAATGTTGCAGTATCTCCAAATCCTAACTTGCTTGCATCTTGAAGATTCGGAAAATTCAAGCGTGCATATTTACCCCGAAGCTTATAGGCTGCTCTATCATAAGCATAGGCTGCAGCCTCAGCTGTATCATAAGTTCCCAACCACACTCTTAATCTGTTCTGAGGAAGTCTTATTTCAGCCACCCATTTTCCCCAATGCCTCTGTCTAACTCCTCTGTATAGTTTTTTCTTGCATGGAATGACAAAGCTAGGTGTGTACACATAGTTTGGAAATGGGTTGGTTAGAGAACTTTGCGAAATTGAAGGGTTTGCTCTGTTTTCGTCGTAGAACTTTAGGAGTAAATCTCTTTGGCGGAGATATACTGAAGAACCTAATGGCTCAAAAACATGGTTGGTCATGGGGGTTGAGCGTTGGCAATGAGAAAAGATTGAATCCAAGGTATTTGTGCCTCCTGCTAATATGAGGTTTGATAGTGAAGATTGAAGGTCGACACTGTTGTCAAAAACGGAAGGCATGATATTTTCTTGTATTCTGGCCATTTTGTCGTAATTTTTTGGAATTTTAAGGAAAAAGAAACAGGGGAGGCTGAGGACACAGGGTACTAAAAAACTGGTCCCTTTTCCTCTAAAAAGGAGGATATCGTGGCGTGAACTGATATAAATATGATGAAAAAATTAGGAAAACTGCTTTGGAGAGAGAGATTCCTCTCAAAGATGAGAAATTTTTGAGCAAATATTCGTACAGAGGTGAGAATTGAAATATTAGAGGAAGTAGTGAATAAATTGCGTGAAGAACAGAGCAACGATTGGAGAAAGATTTGCGTAGAAACTTTTGGCTCTATTGATAGAAAATGGCAATTAGAAAAGGGTTCAAATATTCGAGGATGCGTCTGAAATCTCTGCCCTGTGTCTGCGTTTGGTCTCCATCTTGGGGTATTTATAGCCGCAGAGTAAAGGATTTTTTCTTTAGACTTCAAATCTTGTCTGTTCAGAAGTTTCACATTTAACTTTTTGACTCGTATTTACCTAAAAGCCGCAGTTGTAATGATTACAGTGCCCCCTCTCACATCAAAAAGTTCGTACAAAGTTAATTCTAGAAACAATTGAAACAATGATACTACTTTTACATCAACTAATATTCCGGGTTACGATCTAGAGTGGATTTATCTTAGTTGATAAGGACTAACATTTGTGGGTTATCGAAACTTAAACTCCATTGAAAAATCAATGACTTAAAATAAACGAGTAACACATTACATCAACATACAGAAGTAAAAATGTTATTTGAATTTTGATTGTTGACATAATTTATTGATGGAATCCATATAAATATTAAAGTACACTGTCTNAAACTCCATTGAAAAATCAATGACTTAAAATAAACGAGTAACACATTACATCAACATTCAGAAGTAAAAATGTTATTTGAATTTTGATTGTTGACATAATTTATTGATGGAATCCATATAAATATTAAAGTACACTGTCGACTCAACATCAATTTGATTAAATTAGCCTGCAAATTAAGATTTTAGTCATATAATTTATTGATTTAAGAAGGGTTTTCTTGTCATTAGACCAAAAGGCTCTTTAATACTAGACACAAGTAAAAAGCAGTTCTCCAGCTGGCGTGGTCTGTGAATTGTGAGGTTTCACCGTTGACTCCGTCCTGAGGTCATCCACTTCTGAGGAAAAAAGCTACTTTACGAATTTATTATGCAGGAGTCAGTTTGTTGGTTGGGNGACACAAGTAAAAAGCAGTTCTCCAGCTGGCGTGGTCTGTGAATTGTGAGGTTTCACAGTTGACTCCGTCCTGTGGTCATCAACTTCTGAGGAAAAAAGCTACTTTACGAATTTATTATGCAGGAGTCAGTTTGTTGGTTGGAGTGAAAGACTACATTAGATCTCTGACACGCGTCCCATGAAAGGGTGGTTGAGATTTGCTTTTATAACCTCTCCTCTGTGTACGCTGCAGGAGAAATTTGCTTAACTGCTATTTCCATGGATGCCTACTTTACACAAAGCTGAAGAACCCTAAATTAAGAATAGACATGATCTGTAGATTTGATTCAGAATCAATTAGGTTAGACTTAGTCCTAATGTTCTTGGGTGCGATAGATGAGTAGCCTCGTCCAATTGTTCATGTTAATGAATCAAATAGGAATTTAACAATAGTAGTCTCCTCTCTGAGATTTTGTTAGCGGTATTGGAAAAGAAGATCAACAAAATTCACTTTAATTTGGAAAGATTTACCTATGTTGGTGATGGATAAAATATGAAATGATTTCGGCTGAAACAAAGTTGGAATTCTAGCGATGAGGAGGTGGATGGTGAGAGACATAGTGGCTAGCAATGTTATTGATTAGAAACGTGCGGAGGTTATAGTAGATTTTGGGGCAAAACAGTAAAATGACAATATAATATGAGTAAAAAGTATTAAAAATATATGGTTGGTATACATATTTGATTTAGTAACACACAATATTGAGTGATTATTGACATTTAAATGTTGTATAAGATTGTATTGAAGTATTTAATTCCATATAACTCTAATACTTTTAATAACATGGCAACCAAACGAGTCCGACATAGATATGATAAGACAAGCTATATGGAATCTCAGAAGAAATTTCTGTCATGAAGTCCAAAGTTTAAACAGCCATTTTAATTATAATATTCTCTAATAATTGCTTCGGCAAGTGTCTAATTCCATACAAATTTACTCTACAATTGAATAAAAGGAAATTGTGTTGGCAGATTCTTCGAAAGATCTAACCCTAAAGATCTTGGAGAGGGGCTAACTAACTCCTTGTCCCTCTTAGTCCATGTAACAGCTTGAAAGTTTGGTTTACATGGCGTGTCTAACTTTTCATGTGCATTACCTTCCGAAAAAACACTTTTCATTTGCATTAAAGTTATGGTGCTTTATGTGTATGGCAACGCCTACACGACAAAAGGCACAAGAAAATTTATTCGACAAATTGCCATAATGAGTTGAGCAAATACTCTTTTAAGGCTTCCAAATAAAATCTCATGAACAAAAGAACAAATTACATACTTATGAGTAACTTCAAAAAGTCCCTTACTTCTCAAATTCCGGGGTTCAAACCTTAAAAAAAAATACCGAATGACCATGATGAACTATTGGAGGTTTAAAAATCTAGGTTTGTTCAATTTTTTTTGATTGATTAGAATTTTCAATCAGATTTTTTTCTGATAAGATATACTCATTCTTCATTTCATTGTTAGGTTTCAAGTGACATAATTTTCATCTCTTTTCTTTTGAAAGAAAGATAAATCCATCCTTGTACACAAGAGAAGTCCTTCCAGAGGTAATCAAATGAGGGAAGTATCACGATCAAGGATGGGACCCAGTCTTATTAAATACGTAAAGGTCACCTGGAAAGACGATGATGCCTTCGGAAGGAGAAAATATTGATACCTTGTGTATTATCTATTAATAATATTAAAATAAATAAATAATTGGACTTTATAACAATTAATATCCAATTTGTCATATAAGCAAATAATTTTTTACTATTCTTCTATGTATGTTCAAGTGAGGTTTATCTTATTCATTTAAGATTTTATTATTAATTAGTGGTATTATATCATCATTACTGTTGTAGGCTTGTGATGGGTCAATAGAATTATTAATCAAACTGAATTATTTGAGTTTAGTTTGGGTTTGGCTCGGTTCGTTTTTTAAACGAGTCTGAACTTAAATAAGTTTTTAGGGTCGTTTAAAAAACAAGTCCTACAAGCTCGGTTTAAACTCGACAGACCTGACTCGTTTATATGTAAATACTCGNGGTTCGTTTTTTAAACGAGTCTGAACTTAAATAAGTTTTTAGGGTCGTTTAGAAAACAAATCCTACAAGCTCGGTTTAAACTCGACAGACCTGACTTTTTTATATGTAAATACTCGGACTTGAATTGGGTTCGACTTGTTTTGGGCTCATTCGGGTTCAATTCTTTTCTTAAACGAGATAAATTTGAACAATTTTTTAAGCTTAATAAAAAAATAAGTTTTTCAAGTCTGACTCGAATTCAGCTTGAGCTGGTGGCACAGACAGCCCTATGGGCCAATCTTCAAACTTCAAAGGCTAAAAAAGCTTTCGCAAATTGCATGTGAAATAAATCTAACTCGCTCACGAAGTCAATACAAATCGTACTCCTCATGCCCTTGTATCTCTCTGTACCCATTCTTTGATCGTTCACTACCTTTTCAGGCATTTATTCCAAGCCTGCCCTCACTTTAATGTACCACAAAATAAGGAAATCGAGCCAATACAGGCGAATGATCAACGCATTACTAAATTCAGGAAATCACAACTATGATAGACTACAAAATCAGTAAAACTGAATTTTTAGTCGTTTTCGTTCCACAATTGCTGAGAAGGGATACGTGGCTTCTTAGTCACTCGGACATTGTCGTTTTGGTTGTTTTAGGGTATCAGGGATGTTGACAAGTTACGATGCGATCATAGTATTTCATCTTGTTTCTATCATTGACGTCCACGAGATTCATTTTATCGATATTAATCTAACATATAATTATTTTTTTTAGTGGTTTTACTCATTTATTAATATTAAATCAAATCATATATAATATTGAGTTATCTGTTATGTTTGATCTCGCATTTGGCGTGATCGATCTCTTGTACTTTGACGTGGTGGTTAATTATGATATTAATTGCTTTGAATTTATGAGTAGAATTTGTCTTTGAAAACTTGTTTGCGAAAAAAGGGTAGTCAAAAGTTCATTTACACACATTTAATCTTATATTTATCTGATGTGGGATTATAACATGCAATTATAGGAGAAATAGTTTTAAGTCTGCAACACCACGATATGGTTGGCATATCCAATCATACTTAGAACAATGTAATTTTGTAACAAGATCGAGGGCATAGGTGGGATTGAACTTTGCAAAAGGAGTGGGTGGTCCGTGTGTGCCGTGTCTTTTTCTGCCAAATCAAAAAGGTATGCTTTGGCAGGATATGGACTATGGACTTGGTCGCACCGACGCAGCACTAGCCGGCGCCGACTTCAAAAAAAAAAAGGGGTCCCAACTCATGGGCTGAGCCCAACACGTCAGTGCTCATCGGGTCCATGACTGAGGTAACGTGTCGTTTCATCAATTAATTCATCAAAAGTTTGGCATTGCCTAATATCTCGTGATTTCTTTCTCAAAAACAACAAAGAATACGGTGTCGGCTGATGAAGTTTACAGTGAAACGATGTCGTAGAATTGCACCTCATTTACTTGCTTTCGTTTTCTGGACCTCACACATGTATGTTTCGTATAAACATGTCATGTTAATGGTTATGTCATGATGACTTCAGATGAGAAGATGTCTTATAAGAGCATCTTCACCGATAGTAGTTATTTTAGTTATGTAAAAAATATATATTTTTTATTTTAGTTACTCATTTTTTTAATACACATTTTAATAGATTTTCTATATTTTTAACTACTCATTTTAAATATTATTTATTATTCCTTTTGTATTATATTTTTTGGGAATAGTGAAAGGGAGAAAGAGAGAGAATGGAAGAAATGAGAGGAAGAGAGAGAAAAAATAATATATATTATGTTTATATATTATTATAGTGATGCTTGATGAGACATTTTCAGACACTTTCAAATGACGACACGTGTACTCGGCGTCAATGGAGACTCTTCGCTTTGATCTCGACACGTCTTCGTCGATTTTCAACCCCCTGTCCTGAGAATGCTATTCACAAGGATCAAGAATCCCCAACCCACCATGGACAGACACGTATTTCTCAGCATTTTGGGTATATCGGTCCTAATCATACTAGTCCCTCGGCACCAAGGTGTATCTATTTACGTGGGCATTTCTGCTCCTGCAGGGGCTATTGATGGACA